TAAAAATATTTTCAGGTTTGATAAAAGTATTTCCAGGTTTGATACAAATGTTTCCAGGTTTGATAAAAGCATTTCCAGGTTTGATAAAAATATTTCCAGGTTTGATAAAAGCATTTTCAGGTTTGATAAAAGCATTTCCAGGTTTGATAAAGATATTTCCAGGTTTGAGGAAAATATTTTCAGGTTTGAGGAAAACATTTTCAGGTTTGATGAAAATGTTTCCAGGTTTGATGAAAATGTTTTCAGGTTTGATAAAAACTTTTCCGGGCTTGGTAAAAATATTTTGGGATCTGAAATCCAATCCCTGAACCCCCAGAGAATTTTGGGATCAGAAACCTCCCCCCAGGATGGGAGAAAAGTGGGAATTTCCAGGATAAAGTGACCTGGGAATGCAGCTGGAATTTACAAGGGAAAAGGAATAACGAGGAGTAATTCTCCACAGGGACACCTCGAATTGTAGAAAACAGAATTGAAGAAATCCAGGTGTGCTCCTGGCACACAATACTGCATTAAAAAAAAAAAAAAAAAATGGAATTGGGAGTCTGGGAATCACTGGCTCATCCCTGTTTAAATTAAAACAGGATCAGCCACTGGGCTGGGCTCACACTGACACTTTGGGCAAAGCTGTCCCCCCCCCCCAAAAAAAATGGGATTTTTTTGGCAGCTGGGAGAGGTTGGGGTGAGGTCGTGCTGGGTTTGTGCCTCTCAGAGCCCAGCCCTGGCTATAAAATCCCCTTCCAGGTGGGATTTTGAAGAATTTTCTTGGGAAAAAAAAAATTTTAAAATGAGTGGAGGGGGTGTTGTGTCCCGTGGGAATGCTCAGGGGGTGGATTTTGGTTTGGGAGCAGGAGACAACAGCTCCACCTGCACTGCCAGGGAACCTTCCCAACCTCTGGAATCCAGCTGTTTCACCTTCCCAACCTCTGGAATCCAGCTGTTTCACCTTCCCAACCTCTGGAATTCGGGTGTTTCACCTTCCCAGCCTCTGGAATTCGGATGTTCCCCATCTGTTCATCCGATCCCTCCCCATCCCAGCTCCCTATGGGAATAATCACAGAGCTGCTCCAGTTGACAGGAAGAAAAAAAAAAAAAAAAAAAATCCCTTTATTCCCTCAGGAACTCGAGGAACGGGAAGCTCCCGGTGCATTCCCAGCCCTGGATTCCATGGAGTGTTTGGAAGCAGGATGCACGGGGACATTCCATGGGCACACGGGGACATTCCAGGGGGGCACAGGGACATTCCAGGGGGGCACAGGGACATTCCAGGGGGGCACGAGGGGACATTCCAGGGGCACAGGGACATTCCAGAGGAAGGGATTTGGGGTCTGCCAGCAATGCCAGGAATGCAGCGGGTCCTGTTTGGCACCGCCACAGTGGGGATGGAGCCCAGCAGATCCAGGAGAGGGATTTTGGCCTGTCCTTCATCCCCATGGAGCCCAGCAGATCCAGGACAGGGATTTTGGCCTGTCCTTCATCCCCATGGAGCCCAGCAGATCCAGGACAGGAGTTTTGTCCCAGATCCTGTCAGGACACCAAGTCCTGTCCCAGTTCCTCATCCCTGAGCAGATCCAGGAGCTCCTGGGACCACTGGGATGGAAGTTTTATCCCAGATCCTGTCAGGTAAGCAGGTCCTGGCCTGGTTCTTCATCCCTGAGCACATCCAGGGACTTTGACACTATTGGAAAGGCAGTTTTGTCAGTTCCTCATCCCTGAGCACATCCAGAGTCTCTGGCACCACAGGAAATGGGGTTTTGTCCCAGATTCCATCAGGAAAGAAGGTCCAGTCCCTGTTCCAATTCCTCAGCAGATCCAGAGGCTCCTGGCACCACTCGAACAGGGATTTTATCCCAGATTTTGTCAGAGCAGCAGCTCCTGTCCCTGTTCCCACCCCTGAGCACATCCAGGGGCTCAGGCACCACTGGGATGGAAGTTTTATTCCAGATCCTGTCAGGTAAGCAGGTCCTGGCCTGTTTCTTCATCCCTGAGCACATCCAGGGCCTTTGGCACTATTGGAAAGGGAGTTTTGTCAGTTCCTCATCCCTGAGCACATCCAGTGTCTCCTGGCACCAACAGAAAGGGTTTTTTTTTCCTGTTCCCATCCCTGAGGGATCTGTGGCACCACAGCACTGAGGATTTTCCCCATTCCCCCACCCCCGGGCAGCCCCAGCAGCTCCGTCCCTACTGCAGGGCCGGCCGTGTGACAGCGGCGGCCGCCGTGGTGGCTTTGGGCGGCAGGTACTCGGGCCTGCTGACGGCCACGGGCCGCGCCAGGCAGCGCAGGTTGCCCGTCTTGAGCGCGCACTGCACGGGCCACAGGATGATGCAGAAGAGGATGATGAGGAGCGCCGAGAGCAGCACGATGCGCTTCCAGTCCTGGCACAGCTCGCAGCGGGACAAGGCGGCCGGCAGCCCCTGAGGAGCCTCCTGGGCGCTCTCGGCCTTGCTCATGGCCACGTCGATGGACACGCAGGCCTCGTCGCCCTCGCCGCCACCGTCGGCGTCGTCTCGGCGGCAGCACAACCGCGTGCCCTCCATCCACAGCTGCCGCTCGTGCTGCAGCTCCGGGGGCAGCGTGGCCAGCAGCTCCTTGCTGGTGGCCAGCCCGGGCGCTCCCTGCTGAGGGATGTGGGTGAGCTGGCGGCAGAAGGGGCACGGCAGGAGCTCCTCGGGCTGGTTGGGCGGCAGAGCCGTGCTCAGCCTGGCCACGCACTCCAGGCAGAAAACGTGCGAGCACTGCAGGCGTTTGGGAGTCTTGAAGGTGTTGTCGTAGGTGTTGAAGCAGATGGAGCACTCGACGGGAGACGCCGGCTTGGGGCTGCCGGGGCTGGCGGAGCTCGGGGAGCCCAGGGGAGAGCGGCCTTTCCTCTTGGCATCCCCTGCCGGCGATGGCACCGACACGGGGCTGATGGGGATGGAGATTTCGGCCGGAGACGCCGGCACCGGGGTGGTGGGAGAGTCCGGGGTGCTGGAGTGCCAGAACTGAGAGAAGCACGACATGATGGAGCCCCCGGACAGGAACAGGGCCCTGGGAGACTCTGCAAGACAAGGGGAAAATAGGATTTATTTTATTCTATTCTATTATTTTATTTTATTTTAAACACCATCACCTGCCCCTGGAAAGGAACAGAGCCCTGAGAGACGCTGCAAGAGAAGAAGAAAATAGGATTTATTCTATTCTATTCTATTCTATTCTATTCTATTCTATTCTATTCTATTCTATTCTATTCTATTCTATTCTATTATTTTATTTTAAACACCATCACCAGGCCCCATAGAGGAACAAAGCCCTGGGAGACTGCAAGAGAAGAAAAAAATGGGATTTATTCTATTCTATCCCATTCTATTCTATTCTATTCTATTCTATTCTATTCTATTCTATTCTATTCTTTATTTTATTTTAAACACCATCACCAGCCCCCGGAAAGGAACAAGGCCCTGGGAGACTCTGCAAGGGAAGAAGAGCATGGGATTTATTTGATTTGATATTTTATTTTATTTATTTTATTTTATTCTATTTATTTTATTTTACTCTATTCTATTTTATTATATCTTATTCTATTTTATTCTATTCTATTCTCTTATTTTATTTTAAACACCATCACCAGCCCCCAGAGAGGAACAGAGTCCTGGGAGACTCTGCAAGACAAGAAGAAAATGGAAATTATTTTATTTTATTTATTTTATATATTTTATTTTATTCTATTCTATTCCATTTTATTCTACTATTTTATTTTAAACACCATCACCAGCCCCCGGAGAGGAACAGAGCCCTGGGACACTCTGGAAGTGAAGAAGAGCACAGAATTTATTTGGTTTTATTTTATCTTATTCTATTCTATTTTATTCTATTTTATTCTATTTTATTCTATTCTATTTTTAATTTATTTTAAACACCCTCAGTGACCCTGGGTTATTTCAAGAAACACTTCCAAGCATCCAGACCCAAATTTTGAAGTCCTGAGCCTTCATCCCTCTCGGAATCACTCACTTTTTATTCCCTGAATTTTTTTTTCTCTGTTTTTAAGGAGCCCCAAAAAGAGCAGCAAGGAACCCCTGCAGAGATCCCAAAAAAACCCCAAGCTGGAATTGCAGAGTTTGGGAACCACATCCCCACCAAAATTCCTCCTTTTTTTTCTTTTTTTTTTCTTTTTTTTTCCTTTTTTTTTTTTTTTTTTTTTTTTTGGGGGGGAGGGGATGGCAGAAAAAAAAAAAAAAAATCAAAAACCAGGAGGTTGGACCTACCCCGGGTGGTGCCCCCTGGCACCCGAGCTGGGAGAAGAGCAGAAGATTCCATGAGGGAATCTCTTAATTCTGGGATTAATGGAGCTTGAGCCAGGCCTAAGAGACAGACAACACTTTTCAGCCGGGAGGGGGTTAAAAAAAAAAAAATATATATATAAATAAGGGGGGGGAAAAATAATTTTTATTTTTTATTTTTGGGGTGGGGGAATGTGATCCCAACTCCTGGGAAATGCTCGGGGTCACCCATAAAGGGCTGGAATTCCAGGAAAAATCCAGGGGGGAAAGGGAGAAAATGGGGATTATTTTAAATTATTATTATTATTATTATTTTCCTGTTAAAAATGGTGAAATTCTCATCCCGGGAGTGCAGCTCTCTGAGCAAGGAGGAAACGGCCCTGGAGGCAGAGCCGGGGGAATTTTCCAACATTTCCTGGTTTGTTTTCCCTTGGGAAAATCGGACCTGGAGCAGAGGCTGCGACTGCACGAGCCCCAATCCCAAAAAATTTGGGGTTAAAAATCAACCCCAAATTTGGGTTATTGAAGGCAGCTCCTATCTGGGAGTTCAGGAGCTCAAATCCCCAAAAAAATTTGGGTTAAAAATGATTCCTGGGCCTTTATTCCACTTGGAATTAAACCCAAAATTTGGGTTATTTTAGGCAACACCTGCATCTAAATCCCAAATTTCAGTTCCTGTCTGGGAGTTCAGGAGCACAAATCCCAAAAAATTTGGGTTAAAAATGATTCCTGGGCCTTTATTCCACTTGGAATTAAACACAAAATTTGGGTTATTTTAGACAACACCTGCACCTAAACCCCAAATTCCAGCTGTTCTTCCCTCTCCAAATCACCCAAAATTTCAATTATTTTAGCTCCACCTGAATCCAAATCCCAAATTTCGAGCTCTTCATCCTTCTCCAAATCACCCAAAATTTGGATTATTTCAGCTCCACCTGAATCCTGATCCTAAATTCCAGCTCCTGTCCCCGAAAGCAGCAGGAAATTCCTGGTGCCATCTCTGCTGCTGCATTTCCTAGGAACATTTTTTATTTTAATTTTATTTTTGTAATTTTTCTTTTTTTTTTTTTTTTTAATTCGTGTTGCCATCTCTGCTGCTGCATTTCCCGGGAACATTTTTTATTTTAAATTTTTTATTTTTATTTTTATTTTTAATTCCTGTCGCCACCTCAGCTGCTGCATTTCCTGGGAACTTTTTTTATTTTAATTTTTTTTTTTAATTTATTTTTTGTTTTTTTATTTTTTTATTTTTTTTTTAATTCTTGTTGCCACCTCAGCTGCTGCATTTCCCGGGAACATTTTCATTTTTTAATTTTAATTTTTATTTTTTTTTAAATTGGTGTTGCCACCTCAGCTGCTGCATTTCCCGGGAACATTTTTCATTTTAATTTTATTTTAAATTTTATTTTTATTTTTTTTAATTGGTATTGCCAGCTCAGCTGCTGCATTTCCTGGGAACATTTTTTTGGGATTGAGTCAGGGCTGGATCCTCCCTGCCGGGACATTTGCAGGGCTCAGGCGTTTCCTGTAATTACAGAAACTCCTCATCCTCGACTTTTAAATCTCCATTTCAATCCCATCTCAAATCTTCAAACCGGCCTTTCAATATTCCTCACATTCCACGAGGAAAAAAAATAAAAATAAAAAAAAATCTCATTATTTAATGATGAGGAGTTCACCCCTCGCCCTTCAAAACTTCTCTCTTTTAAATCTATTTTTTTTTTCCTCCTGAGCTTAAATTTTGTGCATTTTCCAGCGAGTTTTGATGGTTTTTAATCCATTTTAAAATTATTATTACTATTATTATTATTATTATTATTATTATTATTATTATTATTATTATTATAATTATTATTATTATTATTATTATTAATTATTTTCCTGGTTACAGATAAATTACAAATCCAAACCGGCCCAGTGGAAAACCTGAGCGAGTTTTTTTTTTCCTTCGTTTTTTAATTAATGTTTTATTAATATTTTTATCAATCTTTCAGTAATAGCAACATCAATGCTAATATTTCATTATTATAATAGTAACATTTATTAATATCTTTGATTAAATTTTTAATTAATATTTTAAAATTCAATCTGAAGGAGTTTTTTCCTTTTTCTCTATTTTTTTTTTTAACTGCATCTTCCCTTTTTGCCCAGCTCCACATCCCCTAACTCCGATTTTTTTGAATTTTAATTTTTTTTTTTCAATTCCTGGAATTGAAAAAAGGAATTTTCAGGAATTTTCCCAGGAATTTTCAGGAATTCTGAGCAGCACAGCAGTGGCAGAAGGGAAAGGGAGAAGATTTTTTTTTTGGCTCTGATTTCACAACTTGAATTTTGAAATTTGGGGAATTTTTTATTGGTCTGGGCTACGTCAGCAAAATCCTGAGGTAAAAAAAACAACCCAAAATTTTACCCCAAAATTTGCTTTTAAATCAAAATCTAAATTTCCCTCATCGGCTAAATACGATCATGATGATAAATCTCAATAATTTTTCAATTTGTTTCTATAAATTTCCAATAAATTGAGATTCTGCTCGGTTTTCCTCATTTGGTTCTGCTCATTTTTTTTGGATATTTTGATTTTTGGGCTTTTGGGGTCAGCTGAGATCAAGGTGAGAATTCCTGGAATTCCTTCCTGCGTCTTTTTTAACAGAAATATTTGAGGTTTTGGGAGTTTTTTTGTTTTGTTTTGTTTTGTTTGATTTTCTGATTAATTTTTTAATTTTTTTTTTTTTAATTTGGAGCTGGGCTTTTCCACTGGGAAATGAGGAATTAATTCAGGAGAGCGACACGAAGGAAGGAATTCCCAAGTTTTGGTAAATTCTGGGAATCTTTGTAAAGCCATAAAGCACAGAGGGGCCACGTTTAGGATTAGGATTTGTCCTGTCCCAGTGATCCCAGTCCCCAAAATCCCAGTCCCAGTGATCCCAGTCCCCGAAATCCCAGTCCCAGTGATCCCAGTCCCCAAAATCCCAGTCCCCAAAATCCCAGTCCCAGTGATCCCAGTCCCCGAAATCCCAGTCCCCAAAATCCCAGTCCCAGTGATCCCAGTCCCCGAAATCCCAGTCCCAGTGATCCCAGTTCCAACAATTCCTATTCCAACAATCCCAGTTCCAACAATCCCAGTTCCAACAATCCCAGTTCCAACAATTCCTATTCCAGTGACCCCAGTCCCAGTGATCCCAGTCCCCACAATCCCAGTCCCAGTGATTTCTATTCCAGTGATCCCAGTTCCAACAACCCCAGTTCCAAAAATCCCAGTTCCAGTGATCCCAGTCCCTCTGATCCCAGTGATCCCAGTCCCTCTGATCCCAGTCCCAGTAATCCCAGTTCCAGCACTCCCAGTGATCCCAGTCTCACTGATTCCTATTCCACTGATCCCAGTAATCCCAGTTCCACAAATCCCAGTTCCAGCACTCCCAGTTCCAGTCCCACTGATCCCAGTTCCAACAATTTCTATTCCAGTGATCCCAGCTCCAACAACCCCAGATCCACTGATCCCAGTCCCAGTGATCCCAGTCAGTCCCAGTGATCCCAGTCACAACAATCCCAGTCCCAACAATCCCAGTTCCAGTTCCAGTGATCCCAGTCCCTCTGATCCCAGTCCCAGTAATCCCAGTTCCACTGATCCCAGTCCCAGTGATTCCTATTTCACTGATCCCAGTTCCAGTCCCACTGATCCCAGTCCCAGCAATCCCAGTTCCAGCACTCCCAGTTTCAGTTCCACTGATCCCAGT